TTCAGACCTGGCTGGCCCTGGCCACAGCTGGGCTGAGCTCCCTGGCCGGGTCTCAGCTGGTTTTGCTGTGAGTGGCACACGGGGAGTGCTGGGCAGCGTGAACGCTGGCGAACTGGGTTTGCAGGGACCAGTGAAACCAGCCACTCAACCGCCCCCGTCCGAATCATGCCCCCTCCCCCGTCAGAAACCAGGGCGTGTGCAGGTGAGTCTCGTGAGCTCTTCTGCGCATGCACCTACCGGTCAGCCTCCTGAGCGCCCCAGGTGGGGCCGGCCTGCCGCGGGGCCCTCTCTCTCCCCGCCTCCCGCCTCCTCCACTGGCTCCTTTACTTCTCCCAGAATCCAGCTGTGGGTGCCCAAGCTCAGCTCTGACTCCCTAACCCTCTCTCGCCACACTTACCACGCGCGGGTGGAACACCGTCCTCTCCGTGGCTTTGGCCGTCCACCTGGAAAAGCTCACCGCGGGGCCAACACCCTGCCGCTTCATTGCAGGTGCCACCCTGGCCCCTGACCGGCCAGCTCCTCCTCCCAGGGCCCACTGTTGCTGACAGGTGGGAACCTGGCCCTCATTTCCGAGGTGGCACGAGGCTGCTCATATTATGTTGGAAACTCATCCATTTTCTTCCATAGTAAAGCAACGTGGCGTTTGGTTAAAAGCCCAGGCTATGAGTTTTCGCTGTCCTGACTTCAAGTCGCAGCTCTGCTCATCATCCAAGTGACCTCGGCATGTTATTTGACCAACTAAACTCAATTTCCTTATCCACAAAATGGGGGTGATTTTGCCCACCTTCCAGGATTGTGGGAATTAAGTGAACAAAGCTCCTGGCACAGGAGCTCAGTAAACATGAATTTTCTTCTTAGCTGTCATAACTGTGTTGCTCATTGCTTATTCTTATCCACCTACCAACTGGTGGCAGATTAATCTTCCAAAACCGGGACCTCAGTCACTTCCTGGGCAAAGGTCTCAGGCTGAACACATACACAATTTGATTGAACTGCACAGTATTGGAGCACATGGCATTAATCATAAAAACTTCAATTAGGTCCTTCAACTACCAGCCATGGAACCCACCTTAACTCCATTTCAAGCAAGCAAGAAATTTTTTTATAGCCATCAGGTAACTAATTCCCAGCACTGATGAGAAGTCTGGAGCATCAAGTTAGGACAGAAGCCAGGGCAGCCCCAAGGTCTCTAGGCATCAGATTGACCTGGACAGAAGTGCTCCCACCACACACTCCACCTAGTGCACCTCCACACCTAGTCCAGAGCAGGGTGCATCTGGTAGGCCGCCTCAGATCATGTATCCACCTTTGGTGGTGGTGGGGTAGCCGGGGCACAGTGCTTCTGTCACCAGACACAATGTGGTGAAGATTAGGGTTCTGTTTCTAAAGGAAAGGGTGATGGAGGCCCCAAACCAGCCAAAGGTCACCACAGCATCTTTGGCACTTTTTCTAATAATTTTAAATTTCGGAGTGTCAGTCAGTAATTGTTGATTCTTGTGTTGTCTTCATGGACTGCGGGAAGCCACTGTTTGCCAATACTGTCACCAAGGAACGCGGAAGCCTGATGGACCTTGGGCATTAGCAGGGCTGACGCTAAGGACAGATTGTTGGTGTTGAGAAAGTGGTAGCTCAAGGCAATTTCCTAACCTGATAATCCTTTTACTGTTTACCAAACTTTACCTTTGATATGCCTGTATGCCTTGCTAAAGGGCAAATGTGTATTCAAGTAAATAAATAGTACACCAGGCCAGAAGTTGGTGTGTCTCTTCAAGAAAGAGGCTCCACCTGGCCCTCAATGCCTTCTAAATTCATATTTCTTGTGTAGCATTTTCATTTGTGCGTCGGCCCCTCCTTCAGTTCCTGAACCCAGCCACGCAGGTCGCGGCAAGGGACTTCTGAAAACTGATGGTCTCATTCCTCTGCTCTATAATGTTGCATGACTTATTGATTTGGTGAAAATATCTGCAAACTGACATCCATTTCTTTCACGGGTTGTAGAAAGGGGATTGTGTGATCTGCCAGCCTTTGGAGAAAACTCTGCGAAGCTTGACTGCCTGTTGCTCTTGGGCCAGTGGTGTGCCCTGTGCCCTTCTTTATCCCAGTGGACTCACCTCTCTGCTCATCCCAGGAGGCTGTGAGCGCTCTAGGGCAGGAATCCCAGCAAGGTGCTTGGCACACAGGAGATGCTCATGCAAAGGAGCATCTTTGTTGAATGAATGAATGACTGAATGAACATCTGAAGAGGTTCTATGCTCTGGCCACCCCTACCTGGACTATGGTGAATTATGGAGCTGAGAGGAATTCTAGGGTCATCAGCCCCACCCCTCTTTCCAGGTGAGAAAACTGCAGTCTAGAGATTAGGTGACTCAGCAAAGCCACATTGGAAATTGGAGGCAGAGTCAGGACTGGAATGTGGTTTTCCCTCCTACAAGCCTGTGGTTCCCTTTGCGGTCCCGCAGGTCCATTCTACCTCAAGCCCCAAGTGTGGTTATCTGTAATTTAGTCAAGACAGCAGTGGCAATGTCACCACAGGCATTTCTGCCTTTGAATCTTGGCTCCCTAGGTTGCAGCAATGCAAATCAGCCACGAGGATGTCCTTAAAATTTCTTTCTTCCTTTTTTTCTTTTTTCTTTTTATTTTTTAATCCAAGGGTATTTCTCCATTGATTTTTAGAGAGAGTGGAAGAGAGAGGGAAACATGGACGTGAGAGAGACACATCGATGGGTTGCCTCCTGGGCCCCGGCCGGGGCAGAGCCTGCCACCGAGGAAACGGACCCTGTGATCCACAGGCTGATGTTCTATCCACTGAGCAAAACCAGCTAGGGCAACTATCTATTCCAGGGGTCCTCAGACTTTTTAAACAGGGGGCCAGTTCACTGTCCCTCAGACCGTTGGAGGGCCGGACTATAGTTTAAAAAGAAAACTATGAACAAATTCCTATGCACACTGCACATATCTTATTTTGAAGTAAAAAAACAAAACGGGAACAAATACAATATTTGTATTTGCATGTGGCCCCCGGGGCCGTAGTTTGGGGACCCCTGATCTATACTAATAAAAGGGCAATATGCTAATTAGACCAGATAGACCGGACATCCTTCTGGACAAAGCCTCAGCAGCTGCGAGGGCCAAGGAGGACTGGCAGCCACAGTGGCCGGCAGTGGCAGCAGCAGTGGGGCAGTGGGGTCACCTCTTGCAGAGGGAGGCCAGACTGTGGCCTAAGCCATCAGTAGGATATCCCTGAGGGCTCCCGGACTGTGAGAGGGGGCAGGGCTGAGGGACACCCTCCCAGTGCACAAATGTTTGTGCACCGGGCCTGTATTTTCTTAATGAAGTCTTTCATTTGAAGCTCTTTTGTTTTTGAAAATGGATATATACTTACAGCCTCAAAAACAACTTGCCTCATCTGCACCATTTTGGTGAGTCAGTTTCAGCTGGAATGATTGCCCACATTAACAATGTCTTACTGCATGTTTTTAAAAGAATCATCTGGAGATATGTTTAGAAAGGCCATGTTATCACGAAGTCCTAAAATTTTCCTGAACTAATGCTTCATAGGTTTTCCCAAAGAATGAAGTTTCAGAAACAAAGTCTAGGGTTCTAGCATATGGGAAAAATTCCCTTTCACTGCCACATTTTTCTAGATCTTTAGATTCTTCTATACACTTCCCACCTTCTTGTTCTGCATGGATAGAGGGTGTCTTACACAGGTTTTCTGACGGCTGAGTGGGCCTGTCTTTACCTGCCTACACTCATCAACACCTTGCACCTCAGGGCCAGGAAGGGAGGAACAGATTCTGCTTGCCTTCACCTCCTACCATCCAAGCCAGGGCAGGCTCCAGAGAGAAAGCCTGGGATTAAGGAGCAGATGTTGTCACTGGAGGCGCCTCCTGCACTCCAAGGCTGCTGTTACCTCAGAAGTGTCCCTCAGCCCTGGGCCTCCAGGAGAGCCAGGCCAGGAGCAGGAGCCTCACCTCCAAGAGATGTTCCCAAATGGCTTCCTGCACGGCAGGTGGGGTGCCTGGGGAGCAGATGCCTCCAGGGCACCCACCCAGCCTCTGTGGTGTTGGTAGCAAACGGGAGGATGACCAGGTCAAGTCCTGAAGGTCCAGTAGGAAGGATGCTTACGGGCCTGTCAGATAAAGATGCTCTGGGGACCTTCTGTGCCGCTCCTCCTCCCATCCAGTGTTGGTGTATGTGTGAGAGAGTGCGTGTGTGTGAGAGAGAGAGTGTGTGTGTGTGTGTGAGAGAGAGTGTGTGTGAGAATGTGTGTATGTGTGTGTATGTGTGTGTATGTGTTTTGATTAAAAACAGTTTTTTTTTCCAAAAAAAAAAGTGTAAGAGAGAGAGAGAGAGAGAGAGAGAGAGAGAGAGAGAGCGCGACCCCAGGGTAGTGAAGTACCCTGGGGGCAGGGCCAGCTGTGTGTGGGATGGCCGGCAGGGGCTTCTATCATGCTCCATGGAATAGGAGTGCCTGGAATAGGGGTTCTGCTGTTGACCTCCAGAGTTTCCCCAGGAGAAACAGTATGCTTCAAGTAATGGGTTGCTTTTCCAGGGGTGGATGGAAGTGTGAAAATACTTGGTTTTGTGAGAAGGGGTGGCAGCAGCTGAAAACAATTCTATGAAGTATTGGGCATGTGCCAGCATAGTATGGCTAGGATCTTTCTCCACCTGTTAGTTCATTGAATCCTCAAAACACCAAAAGGCCAATGTTATGA